AACATAAATGAGTTAATCTATGCGATTAATGTGGCCGAGATTAATGCGACAAAATATTTTAACGTACTTAACGTTTGTTAAGTTGACCGCGGAAACAAAACGGCCGCTAGCTGCGGTCACTTACATCAAGATGGAGAGAGCGTTTTGCATTGGAAGTAAAACAAACAGAGGCGCGACATACAGCAGAGAACTGAGCAGAGGAATTACTCTACGTGTCAAACAGAAGGGGGGGGGGAGTGGCAAACGGACCACGTAAAGCACCGCTATGCTAAGCTAGCTGCTTACAGTGTCTAAAATACACCCTATCAAAAGTGATTACGCATTACTTGTAAGATTTAGTGTTATTCATTTGGAAGAAAAACAAACATTCATTATTATCAACATTGTAACAACAACAACATTCATTAATCGAGAGTAATACATTTTAAAATGTGCGATTAATCATTTAATTTTTTTAAATCTATTGACAGCCCTAATTTCTACACAAAGATAAGTCAAAGCTTCATGTGTTAAAGCTGCATTCTCTGTAGTGACCAGCAGGGGGCGCTTCCTCTGGTCCCATAGAAGTCTATGAGAAAATGACTTCTCTCTTGATTTATTCCCTCGGTAAACATTGTAAACATGAGTTTATGCTCAAGTTTCAAGTCTTGGTCCATTTTTTATTTCATGGTTTTCAAATCTCACCTTGGCTTTGCCGATTATTTGCTTGTTAACAGACAGTTCGTTGACCTCCATCTTCAGCTCGCTCTTCTCCTTCTCCAGCTTCTGCTTGACCCTCTGCAGGTTGTCGATCTGCTCGCCCAGCTCGGCCGCGCCGGCCGCCTGCTTCCTGCGCAGCGCGGCGGCGGCGGCCTCGTGGTGCAGCGTGGACTCCTCCAGCTCCCGGCGCAGCCGCTGGAACTCGGCCTCGCGCCTCTTGTTGACCCCGGCCTGGGCGGCGGCGGTGGCCCCCCCGGCCTCGTCCAGCCGCTCGCCGATCTCCTCCAGCTCCCTGGAGAGGTCGGACCGCCGCTTCTCGGCCTTGGCCCGGACGGCTCGCTCGGCCTCGCCCTCTTCCTCCAGCCCTTCGATGCGAGTCTTGAGACGGAAACAGAAAGAAAAGGCCACCTTGAGGGTCTCTGTCGGTGTGTTCCATAAATTAACGTCTCCACTGTGAGTTTCATTACATGGAGCTCCTTTATCTTCTTCTCAAGGTGGTTATTAACCGTCTGCTCGTCTAGAATTCGGCCGAGCAGCTGGATGTTTTCCAATTCTTTCCTGCAAAGAAAAGCCGACACGAGGCGTCAGTTTAAAACCCGAGGTTCACTCTCCTCACACGAGCCGCCACCGCATCAGCCTCTACTTCTTAATCTTCTCCTCGTAAAGCTGCTTGTCCTTCTCGAGGTCCGTCAGGGATTCCCGAGCGAGCTCCAGTTCTCCCTCCAGCCTCCTCTTGGCTCTTTCCAGGTCCAAGCAGATCTTCTTCTCCTGCTCCTGCGAACCCTCCAGCTTCAAAAGCAAATTGGAAACGTACGTGATCGGGACGTCAGGTGAGGCCGGCGTTTGAATGTTTAAATTGATGGCGGCGACTCACCTCTTCCACTTGCTGCTCCAGTTTGGCCTTGGCTCGGGTCAGCGTGTTGACCCGGTCTTCCTGGTTCTGGAGGTCGTCCAGAGCCTGTCGATGAGCCTCCTGGACGGCTTTCTTCTCGTTGGTCAGCTTGTCAATGTTTTCCTCCTGACCAGCCAGCTCCTCCTGCAGGGTTTTAACCTGGAAAGGTAAATGTTGCATAGTAGACATTTATTATGGAGAAGAACGAAACATGAAGTACCAACATTCTAATTATTACTATCTTCTATATATTCAACACAACAGCACAGGCGAGATCACCAGCCTTGTTTTCCGTGGCGTGCTTCTCCTTCTCCACTCTAACCAGCGCCACCTCCAGGTTGTCGACGTCTCTCTTCAGCTCGGAGCACTCGTCCTCCAGCCTCCGCTTCTTGGCGGTCAGCTCGCCGTTGGTCTCCTCCTCGTCCTCCAGTCTCCGCGTCATCTCTTTGAGTTTGGCCTCCAGCTGGATTTTGCTCTTGATTAAGCCTTCACGCCTCTCCTCGGCATTGCAAAGATCATCCGGGTCCTGAGAAGAAGATGAAGAAGAAGAAGAAGAAAAAAGACTCTAAAGTGTGACAATTCGGCGGAGTTTAGTGAGATTTGGTATTCTTTATTTCCTGCGTCACTCACAGATTCCACTTGAAGGTTATTTTTCTCCTGCAAAAGAGAAACCATTTTCTCCTCCATGTCTTCCCTCTTGGACTCTGACTTCCCCAGATTGTCCTCGCGTTTGACAAAGTCCACTTTCATGCTAGCCATCTCCTTCTCTCTGCGCTCTTCATTATTTTGAAGAACAGCTTCATCCACGGCCAGTGTTTCAGATTCACGGTTTTGCTGCAGAATGAAGGCGCAGTCGCTGTAGGAGGATACACATCAGGGTTTTTTCACTGCAGAAGAGCATCCTTGGTGCCAAACTCACTTCTGAACAACCAAATTGGAGGTTTCTTTTCTTGCAACTTGCATGTTGCTCGTGAAGGTTAAAGTTTACCCAAGGGTTTGCCGAAAGCGTTTATAGGTAAACCTAGGAGGCCTTTATGGTCCCTCAGTGGTACAGAGATAAATGGAACCCAGGAGCTTCTCCGAAGCCTTCTTTCCATCGATGAGCTGTCCCTCTGGCATTCTGGATTTTGCATGTTTGGATTTGGATAACGGCGGAACACCACAACCTGGAATATTTTTGTGTAAACTACGCTAGGAATGAACTCTTACCTCTGCTTGAAGTCAGTGAAAACAACCCTGCTGGGGAATCCCTTCCTGTGATTTAGATCTTACTTAAAAGCCACCAACGTTACAGAGGCCAGAGGGGAAATGACGTCCCCAGCCTTCAGTAGAAAGGCAGGACAGTGAACGCCAGCAGGAGGTCGAGGCTCCTTTTATCAAAACGAACGTCCTGCTGACGCCGACCGGGCGTTTCGAACTCGGCAATGTCACCATGGAAATGTCAGTTGACGCCTTAGTGCTCTCTGCTCGACACGCTATGGCACAGGATCCTTTGGTGTTAATAAGAACACGTCGGCAGCGACAGCCGATGATCCTCCAGCACTATTTTTACGCCCGTCCGTCCTGTCATTAGCCGGTTAACGTTTGTTTAGCGGCTGCTGCTCCGCGCGACTCGTGGCTCATATTTAATGTATAACCAGCTGCTGCATTCTGTGTGATTGTGTCTAATCAGAGACAGAAGCGTGTCATTCTGTGTGTTTATGGGTGTAAACCGTACGCAGCTCAGCGTCTCAATGGAACGCTGTGACCTTCGTGTTCGTCCCGGACTCGAGGACCACCTGCTCCAAGGCACCTTGCTCGAATTAACCGGATTAAACTCCTGGCAGATCGTTGACACTCTTTTTGCGGGAGGCATCATAACAAAATTGACTTTTTGTCCAGTGTAAAAATCGTTTTCTTATTATTCTTATTTTTTCTTATTAGGAAGGTGTTTTTGCCTATATTGCATTTTTTTAAAAAGGTAATCTTAGTTGGTTTTAAATTCATCATCAACATAAGAATTAGATAACATCAAAAAGATGAACAGATTTACAGGCTTAACTGTAACTTTTACACAGAGAAAAGAAATGTGCCGAGAATCGAACCCTGTGGCACACCACCACTTAAATGAATGTATAGAGACAGTGATATTAGAGTAATATCTTTAATCGTTTTCAACAAGGACAACAAGACCGAATGGCGTAGGTTTATTTTAAATATTTATTTTCGCATTTGAGTTCAAATGGTTTAAATTAAAACCATAACTTGTCAGTCTGCAACGTATCTCATGATATTTATTCTAAGCCAAGGTTGGTGACATACATCCACCTTGCTTTGTCTGCTTTGTAAGTCAACACGTGACGAGGTGCATGTGTGTGAACGGATGAAGACAGCTTTGTTGCCCCTTTCAGAAGACGCAGCGGAGATCGCCTGTAACTCCAGCTCTTCTTGTGTTACGGGGAACAAGTGTGAACAGCAGGTTGTCTTAAGAAATGCATCAAATCGTCTCTCAATGTCCAGGAACGTATTACTGGGACAAGAAGAAATAAGGCAAATAATAAGTCATTTAAAAAAAAACATGTTCGACAGTAAAGTAAATCTAATCCTTTGACAAAACTTAAAATGATCACATTTGGAGTTACATTGATTACAACTTTAAAAAAGGGTAATAGACCATGAATACGTTTCAGAATGTGCAGTCAGTCGTTAGCAGGACTATTCGCTGGTACCTCTTTAGAAATAAATCATCGGACTAAGTTACTTCTTTATTTAGTCACCAGTAGTTTGATTGATTCCACTTGTTCTCCAGCTAATTTTGAAAGTGTTCCATTATTTCCGTCTCATATAAACTTTATATAGTTGGTCTACTTGTTGCTTGTTTTTTTTCCGATTGATTTATTTTGAGTGTCCAGCTTGTTTACTGCTCTGAATGCGGGTTTGTCCCCCTCTTGTCCCCCTCCTGTCCACTTCCTGTCCCGCTAGCGTCTCTGTACTTTCACGCCTCCTGGAGGTCACCTTCGGTTTATAGGCCCCGCCCCCCTTTTGGTGAAAGTCACACATGTAACTCAAACCCTGCAAATGTCCTCAGCTGCTGCTGAATACAAACGCATGCAAACGATGCTCAAACATCAGGCCTCGGTTGATGTGCTTTTTATCTCTTGGGGTTTTCTGCCTGAAGCTGTGAGTCGACGCTAACCTGATTCTCACGGTTTAATTGGCGGGAGAACAGAGCAGACCTCGATTATCAGCTGTGTGCTTCAGTTTAGTTAGAACCTGCAGGACGGCGGAAGCGTCTCAGTGTGTCAGCCTGGTTTGTGATGAATTCATTCAACTGCATGTTAAAACATTTTATAACTTGTGTGCAGAAGCGAAAAAAAGTAATTGTATCAATTGGTATAAAAAATGCACTTCAGGCTTCAGGACAAATAAAACCTTTTTTAAACGTTTTTTATTGTTTTGATTTTTGGTGACAGGTTTGACGTGTGACATTTCAGCTAAACGGAGGTCCGTTTATTACAACAACTGATTTATACAACCGTCACACATTGATGAAAGAAACCCAATTCCACTCAGCGTCCAAAGAAAACCATCAATCTCCAAAGTCTTATTTTCCAATATATCGTAGAAGTGTGCTGCAAAAAAAAGGAAAATATTAAAACAACACTTTTCTTTCAAATCAAAAGCTTTAAACAGATGTTTAAAGCTTTGTTCACAAGTTGATCCTTCCTGCGCTGCTATATTCTCCTCTCACCTAATGAAGTCAAAAAAACATTTTAGCTAGTTAAGTATTAACCAAAAAAATGAAAAGAAACCTTCAGACTAAATAAACCATTCATACCTATTGAATAAATCTAAAGCCTTTTCTGATTTCCTTAGATGGAGTTACACGGTTTGCCCATATATATATATATATATATATATATATATATATATATTCTATTCCCCCCTCCCCACCACGCCGTCGCGGCTCTTTGCTCGTAACTTGTTCAGCTGAGACTCGGCGACGTCGGCTCGCTCCTCCGCCGCCTGCAGCTCGTGCTGCACCTTGCGAGCTTTGGCCGAATGGACGCTGGTTTTCTCCTCCTGGGGCGAAAGAAACAACGCGATGAACAGATACACGTCGCCACCGTGTTAATGTGCTTCTTCGCCTCCTTTTGTTCACTCACCGCCTCCTCACACTGACGTTTGCACGCTTTCACCTTCAGCTGCAGTCTGTTCACCAAATCCTGAAGCCTCGCCGCGCCCTTCCGCTCCTCCTCTCTCTGAAACAGTCCGAGGCGCCGCGCTCACGACACCTTTCTTGGCACCGTTGCATCTCATCTCACTCGTTTGAACAGAGGCGGGATAAAACACGGTTACCTGGTAGGTGAGCTCCTTGATTTTCCTCTCATGCTTGCGGACGCCCTTCGTGGCCTCGTTGCTGCGCTTCTGCTCCAAGTCCAATTCCCTTTCCAGCTCGCGCACCTTTTAAAAAAACAAAAAACACCTGTAATGAGCTTCGTCATCTGTTTCCTTCCCCCGAGGACTAATGGTCGGATTCACGCGCCTTGTTCTCCAGTTTCTGGAGCTCCTTCTTGCCGCCCTTCAGCGCCAGGTTCTCGGCCTCGTCGAGCCGCTGCTGCAGGTCCTTCACCGTCACCTCCAGGCTCCTCTTCATCCTCTCCAGGTGAGCGCTGGTGTCCTGCTCCTTCTTCAGGTCCTCGGCCATCATGGCCGCCTGATCCATGTGGTAAAGTTTAGGAGGTTAAATGCAGACACTCTTCATTGTGTGTGGGTGTGTGTGTGTGTTAGGGGGGGGGGGGGGGGGCTTACATCCATTATGGATTTTTTGGCCTTCTCGTCGGCGTTCCTCGCCTCCTGGGCGGAGTCCTCCATCTCTGACTGCAGCTGAGCTAAATCCGACTCCATCTTCTTTTTGGTGTTGAGCAGGCTGGAGTTCTGCCCAATAGGAAACATTCAGACGAATCTAAAGTGTGAATTCTTCAAAGCTACGAACAGGTACTGACATCACGTCTTCACTGAACATTTTATATCTTACACCTGCTGATGAGCATGAGAGTTCAACTTTTCCCTCAGCTGCGGTTCAGTCTCATTTTAGAAAGGTTTGCGTCGCCTTCAGGGCGTCCTGCACGTCGTCTCCTGACCTGAGAGTTCAGCAGCTGGATCCTCTCGCTCACGTCCACCAGCTCCTGCTCGGCCAGCCTGCGGCTCCTCTCCGACTGCTCCAGCGCCGCCCCGATCTCCTCGTTCTCGGCCGCCATCAGGTTGTTGCGTCGCTCGGCGATCGCCAGCTGCTCCCTGAAGTCCTCCTGACTGTGGAGCGCCTCGTCCAGATGGACCTGGGCGTCCTGGGACAAAACTATGTAAACATGTATGTATAGATCTACATATGTCGGTCTCACGTGCGTCCACAAACCTTCAGCTGAGCCTGCACGTTCCTCAGCTGCTTGGTGGCCTCGGCCGCCTGCAGGTTGGCGTGGCCCAGCTGGACCTCCATCTCGTTTAGGTCCCCCTCCATCTTCTTCTTTGTCCGCACGGCGTCGTTTCTGCCGCGCGTCTCGGCGTCCAGCGAGTTCTGCAGCGTGTCCACGGCCCTCTGCTGGTTCCTCTTCAGCTGGTCCATCTCCTCGTCTTTCTCCGACACCTTTCTGTCCACCTCGGACTTGATCTGGGTCAGCTCCAGCTGGAGGTGCAGGATCTTGGCCTCTTGGTGCTCCAGGGACGACTAGAGAGAGACACCCGAAGCTCCACTGTAGTAACTTCAGTGGAGGAATCGTCTCATTTAAAAACTAAATCACAAACCTCGACTTCTTCCAAAGCTGCCTGTGTTTCTCTCTTCTCCTGCTCGGCTTGCTTGGCAGCTTTCTCCAGCTCGTGGAGGGTTTGAACAGATTGTCCGAGCTGCTCTGTGATTTCTATGATCTCCTCTGGAAACGTGAAGAGAAGAACGACTTGACCTCCATGTGGTAAACAACAACAAACACCACCAAGCGGACGATGCGGTGGCTGCTTACGCTGCAGGTTTTTATTCTCTCTCTTCATGGTCTCCAGATGATCCACGGCCTCCTCGTAGGAGTTTTTCAGCTTGAAGATCTCCGTGCTGAGAGCTCGAGACTCTCTCTGGGAAACTTCCAGATCGGATTGACTCTCCTCATATTTCTGTCTCCCTTCGACCAGAACCTGAGAGAGGAGGACGACCACAGGTGTAACCAGCTGCAGGCCTCCGCTGAAGAAGACCCAAACGCACCCAACGCACCTTGTCAAAGTTCCTTTGTCTCTTGTCCAACGCGGCGTTGGCTGCGTTCGACCTTTCCAGCTCGACCATGAGATCCTCCACCTCCTCCTGCAGCCTCTGCTTGGTTTTATCCAGAGACGCACATTTGACGTTCGCCGCCTCCTTCGCTTCCTCGGACTCCTGCAGCCGCTGGGCCAGACGCTTCCTGCCGACCGACCGGGGGCTTAGAACGTGGAGACAACCCCCCCCCCCCCAAAAACGTGCCGCACGGTTCCTACTTTGGCTTCTCCAGCTCCTCGGTGCGCCGGATGGCGTCCGTCTCGTATCTGCTCCTCCACTGGGCCACCTCGCCGTTGGCTTTGGACAAGCAGCGCTGCAGCTCGGCTTTGGCCTCCTGCTCCTCCTCGTACTGCTCCCTCAGCAGCTCGCAGTCGTGGCGGGCCGACTGCAGAGCGTGAGCCAGGGCGCTCTTGGCCTGGGGGGGTGGGGGGGCGGGCGGGGGAACGCACACATCAGGGATTTACACTGAAGCGACATGGAAGCTAAAGCTATGAGCTAAAAATATGACTCTTCTGCCGCGCGATGGCTCCTCTGAAGCAAAGCCAAAACATCTGGATGGCCCCCTGCTGGCCGGCTGTTTTCCCTCTGAGGTAGAGAGAGAGTTTCTAGCTGCCGCCGAGGCCTTCTCACCTTCATCTCCTCGTCCAGGAGTCCCTTCAACTCCTCCACTTGGTGACTCCCCACAGATCTGACTCTGCTCAGCTGGGTGAGAGAGACTTCCTTCTCCTCCAGCAGGCGTGCGAGCTCACCTGATCGGAATAAAGAGCAGATGTTGGATTGTTGTTACTGACTTCTCTTTCATATTCACCTCACTTGACACGCTGCACTCACCAGCTCCGTCACACAATCCACACACACTGACTTCTGACTTCTCTCTTTTTAAACGTCATAATTTCGCTGAGAAACGTACTGATTTCTGCCTGTTGGCGGGCGCTGAGCGTGGTGGAGTCACTGAGGGACCTCTGAGCTTCATCCGCTTTGCTTTTATACTCATTCATTTGGTCTTCGAGGCTCCTGCACAGCTTCTCCAGATTAGCCTGAGACAGCGAGCATCGATTATCACAGGTTAAAGGCTCGTTCGCTGTCAACACGCTGGTGCAGATGTAGCTCATATGTAAAAGGAAATTGTCTTCTCAAGGAATGTAAACAAACAGATCTGCGGACGAAGAACATGGCCGACATCTACACATGAAAACAACGTGTTTTTGCACCAATCCTCGTGGAGGTAAACTAAATGTTTAAGGACCGGGACCCCCGCGTCTCTCACCTTGCTCTTCAGGACGCCGTCCGTGTGGCTCGCCGCGTCGTCGACCTCCATCTTCAGCTCGCTCTTCTCCTTCTCCAGCTTCTGCTTGACCCTCTGCAGGTTGTCGATCTGCTCGCCCAGCTCGGCCGCGCCGTCCGCCTGCCTCCTGCGCAGCGCGGCGGCGGCGGCCTCGTGGTGCAGCGTGGACTCCTCCAGCTCCCGGCGCAGGCGCTGGAACTCGGCCTCGCGCCTCTTGTTGACCTCGGCCTGGGCGGCGGTGGCCCCCCCGGCCTCGTCCAGCCGCTCGCCGATCTCCTCCAGCTCCCTGGAGAGGTCGGACCGCCGCTTCTCCGCCTTGGCCCGGGCCGAGCGCTCCGCTTCCACCTCCTCCTCCAGCTCCTCGGACCGGGCCTGCGGGGATCGGTGGGGGTCACTGCGCGTCGGTGGGGACTCACCTGCAGAACAAAGGTCCACTGTTTGCTTTGTTACCTGAAGCTCTTTGATCTTCTTCTGCAGCTGGGTGGAGAGGACTTGCTCGTCATCCACTGTGTTCTGCAGGCCGCTGATGTCAAAGTCCTTTCTAGAAAAGGGTAAACATCTGCATTTACCGCCAGGAGATGTGTGTGTGTGTGTGTGTGTGTGTGTGTGTGTGTGTGTGTGTGCGTCCGTCCACTTCTGCTCCCTCAGATGTTCCATCGGCTCGATTTTTATTTGTGATGCCTTATAACCTCCCGCTTTATTTACTGCTGACTCAGCTCGACTCAATGGTGTTTTGTACATTCCAGATGTGCTCATTGCAGACACAGCTGGTGGAGATCTGCACACTACGGCACCGTTTCGGTAAATTAGGCTTATTTGCTTTCTGTTGATGAGAAGCTTGATTTTCACATCAAGTCCAACAGAAAAACACACTTAAATCTCCGGGGATGGTTATTATTCTTAAATCGTTCCATTGTGTGTTTCAGGACTTAAACATTGAAACATTGAAACAGCTTCTCACTTCTTCAGTCTCTCCTCCACGTGTTGCCTTTCGTTCTCCAGGTCCATGATGGTTTCCAGCGACAGCTTCAGGTCCCCCTCCAGCCTCCTCCTGGATCTCTCCAGGTCCAAGTTCACCTTCTTCTGCTGCTCCAAGGAGCCCTCCAGCTGCGAGAGACGTCCAAGAGCACAACGTCAACCGGTGCAGCGGGGAACCACACCGGGGAGCGTTCTGGAAAACGTGGGGCGGACTCACGTCATCGACCTGCTGCTCCAGCTTGGTTTTGGCCTTCGTCAGGGCGTTGCCTTTGTCCTCCTCGGCCTGCAGGTCGTCTAACGTCCGCTGGTGCTCCTCGTGCAGAGCCCTGATCTCCTTCGAGGACTTCAGCAGCTTTTCCTCCAGAGTTGTGAGCTCCTCCACTAAGTTCTTCACCTGCGGGGAGAAATGAAGTTAAGATAGTTTCATGCAACTTCACCCTTCTGCTCCATCTTTCACGTCACATCGCGGCATCAGTACTTTTACTGCAGTGAAAGAACCAAATACTCCTTCCACCTTATTCTCCGTGGCGTATTTCTCCTTCTCCACTTTGGCAATGGTGAGCTCCAGGTCGTCGATGTCCGTCTTCAGCTCTGAACATTCGACCTCCAGCTTTCTCTTCTTGGCGGTGACGTCGGCGTTGATCTCCTCCTCTTCCTCCATCCGCTCGGAGAACTCTTTGACTTTGGCCTCCAGGTGGATCTTGCTCTTTATCAGGACTTCGCAGCGCTCCTCGGCGTCGCACAGGTTCTCCCTCTCCTGGAGAGCCGTCAAAGGAAGCGCTGAGCTGCAGCTCATTCATCTTGGTGGTGCAGCACCTTCAATAACCCTCTGAAGTGTGTTTTACTATCTAGTTACATATTCTTCAGTCTCAATGTTTAGAGTGTTTTTATTAATGTGAATATTTCTGCTACATTGTTTCTGTGATATAAATGTATGCATTCCCTCTTCATCTCTTTATCCCCTGTGTTGCTCACGTACTGCTTGGATTTGAAGGTAAAGGTCGTTCTTCTCCTGGAACAGCACGACCATCTTCTCCTCCAGCTCCTTCCTCCTGGCCTCCGACTTTGCCAACTCCTCTTTGAGTCGGGAGAACTCCTCCTTCATGTTCTGCATCTCCTTCTCAGCCTCGGCGCTCCGCAGCAGAGGCTTTATCTTGAAGAAGAGCCTCATCCAGGGCCAGTTCTTCACATTCATGAAGGATCGGATGTTGTACTGGACGACAAAAATGGATTCTCTACGGAGGGACGTAGAGATCATTAATAGACTTCTCGTGTTTATTCAACTGAAGCCACTAGAATAGGAAAGAAACCTCTTCTTCATCATCTCCTTGAGCCGCTGCCTGGTGACGTAACCCCTGGAAACGGCCTGGATGCGAGTCATCAGAACCGCCAGACGTTCATCCCTCATCTCCTCCAGCAGACCCAGGAGGCCGGCTTTGAAAAACACCTGTTTGAGACACAAGTTCATGTCACTCAGGAGGTTTGAGGCCTTCAGAAGCAAAATCAAGCAAAGAATTTGGTAAATATAAATCATTTAAGTGAATTCATTGAGGAAGGTATTTCATAGTACATTCCTTTGAGTTACATAATTAACGTTTCATCAGATTAGAATTAAAGTACAGAAAGTACTCATGATGCAGAAAGACACATTTAAGAACAATATCAATTAAATTGCTGATCTATAAGTTATTGATGAAATAATATGTTAATCAATTTAATCATGCAGCCAATAAGAGGCAATCATAATTATTATGTTAATATTTTTTATTCATAATCTGAATCTGTAAATAAGCAATGTTGTCAAATAAATGCAAAAATAATTGGAATTAGAATAGAAGTAAAAAATACACAGTAATATTGAAGTAAATTCAAAGCACCTCAAAATCTACTCGTGTTAAGTTGTTTTCACTGTAAATATTTAAAGGTCCACATAAATGAAATAAAACACCTTTGTGTATCCGAAGCGGTACTGGCCGTGGTCCACGTCGATGGAGGTCAGCAGCTTCTCTGAAGCCTTCTTGCTGTCGATGTACTGCCCCTCGGGGATGGCGCCGGCGTTCAGGATCCGGTACCTGTCGCTCACGCGGAGGGACAGAGTGAGAGTTGCCGGTTCAGAGCTTTCTGCCTTTTGACTCGTAGCAGGAAAGAGCTCTCTGCGTGTCTGACCTCTGCTTGAAGTCCCCGTAGAGGATCCGGCTGGGGAATCCCTTCCTGCAGATCCGGATCCCTTCCAGCACGCCGTTACAGCGCAGCTGGTGGAGGACCAGATGGTGGTCCATGGAGCCTGGGTGGAGGTTACCGTCCAGGTTAAAGGAACGTCAGTCCGGTTTGTTCAGGTCGTATTGGGGACTAATATAACGTGACTTTTTAACACGATTTATTATCCGGTTTGATCACATCAGGTTTTATTATTCAAAATTGTGTGTTATTACCTTCAACATGTGTATTGAAGCTTCTTGTTCTTATTGTGAGGTGAGTGTGTGATGTGATGCAGAAGACAAATGACCAGCAGGGGGCGACTCCTCTGGTCCCATAGAGGTCTATGAGAAGATGACTCTACTTCTCTCTTGATTTATTCCCTCAGTAAACATTGTAAACATGAGTTTATGGTCTCAGTCTCTAGTTTCAGGTCTTCTTCAATACAGCATGATGTTCAAACAGAAACCATAAAGCAGGGGATGCCTTAGGGCTTCTTTAGCGTGCCATAAAGAATGGAAACAAGGAGAAACGGCTGCCAGGCTCTGTAACTATGGTAACAAAATCCTCCTGCCAGCATCTCAAGCTAAATAACGGCCGGGTTGTTTACACATCTCCTTTATTTGAGGTGAAGACAATGTAAAGAGTGCCATCGATCTTCGTTCTTTGGCCTCAGAATGAAAACTCCTCTCACCTGGCGTCTTGGTCTCGTTTGGGATGATGCATCTCACAAAGTGAGGATGAGTGGACCGCAGGTTGGCCATCAGTTTATTCAGGTTCTCCTGCAGGACACGAACAAATGATGTCTCTTAAGCTGGTATGACTTTTGTCAAGTGTGGGGACAGAAACATCGCGTTGTAATTACTTCTATATTTCTGTTAGGCTTAAGTGCCTCTTTCACATTTCCTGTTTAAACAATCTAAAGTTATTAAAGGTAAATAAAATGTATTCAATGTAGGGCTGCAACTAACGATTATTTTGATAATCGATTAATCGGTCGATTATATCTTCGATTAATCGATGAATCGGATTTATAAAAAAACGGCATTAAAAAGCTTTAATTTCCAACCCTTTATTCTAAAACAGATGCATTAGAGGCTTCTTAGTTGATTTAATGGAACACCATGTGTCTCCCTTTACAGGCATAACATCAACTACCGTATAACCCACAGTATATGCGCAAGCGCACTGGACTACCATATATGACAGCATTAAAAAGTACAACACACACAAATATATTCGTCAACAATAACCGATATGGGACAAAGCACAAAATATCAGACAACACATTGAAAAATGAATGGTCCAAAAGAGGCGAGTAAATAAAAACGTGTCTTAGTCTTGCTAACTGCTTTACTGCTGTTATTAGCGAGCTAACGCTAGCTTGATCAGCTGGATGACGAGTAAACGGGAGGCTTGTTACGTCCCTCACGTCAAAACGGGACCACGTGGACCGGGACCCCCCACGCTCGCACACCTTAGACGACTAGTCGCACAGACGTCTCTCCCTGCGTCATGTGACTCACAACAACTGCCGGCTGCTCTTTCCTCTACGTCAGCTCGGCGCCTTTATTTTTATTTTTGCTCCGCGCACATCTACGCAACTCATTGAGTGACGTAATAATCGCGCGACACAACGAATCGATAATGAAATTCGTTGCCAACGCATTTAATAACCGATTTTAATCGATTTTATCGATTCGTTGTTGCAGCCCTAATTCAATGTTTACCCTTCAGAATGTTGATCATGTAAGTAACCATGTGTAGAATCTCTGGGACAAACAACTGCTTTTACACAAATAACAAGTTATAAATCCACCCAAATAATTTACAATTAATCCATTATTACCCTGAAAACCGCGGAAACCGTCTGGAAAGAAGAGCCCTTTTTCTTGGCACTCCTCTTGCTTCCACCGGCATCTGCGGGGAAGAGAAGCGTAATTTCCATAGTGTAAAGAACCCCACAGGTCGACATGGATCCCACCGCCGAGAAAACACACCGTCGGCCGCGGCGTACGTGGCGAAGAGCCGAGAGAGCAGCTTCAGAGAGGCCTTCTGGTAGAGCTGCACCACCGTGTCGTTGAGCGGGTCCTTGTTCTTCTCCAGCCAGCCGCCGATGTTGTAGTCCACGATGCCGGCGTAGTGCACCAGGGCGAAATGGGCGTCGGGCCTCCCCTTGGCGGGCTTGGGCTTCTGTAGGATGGCGCTCTTCCCCAGGTGCTGGTCGTAGAGCTTGTTCTTGAAGGAGCCGTCGCTGGCCTTGGGGAACATGCACTCCTCCTCCAGGATGGAGAAGATGCCCATCGGCTGTGGGGACAGAAGGCCGGCCGAAGAGGGGTCTTTCCACCGCTCGGAAGTAGAACCAGTTTAGCCCGCGGAAAGACGAAAAAAGGAGAGGGTACCTTTTCGATGAGCTCGATGCAGGCGGCCAGGTCCATGCCGAAGTCGATGAACTCCCAGTCGATGCCCTCCTTCTTGTACTCCTCCTGCTCCAGCACGAACATGTGGTGGTTGAAGAACTGCTGCAGCTTCTCATTGGTGAAGTTGATGCACAGCTGCTCCAGGCTGTTCATCTGCATCGAAACATCGGTTCAGTTGGCGTTGAGGTTCTTGGAAGAAGACTTTTACAACAGGTGTTACAGTGAACTTGGTTCACCTCGAAGATCTCAAACCCCGCGATGTCCAGGACGCCGATGAAATGCTGCCTCGGCAGTTTGGTGTCGAGCTGCTTGTTGATCCGGGTGACCATCCACAGGAATAGCTTCTCGTACACGGCCTTAGACAGAGCGCCCATGGCATTGTTCACCTGGAGGAGGTATTCACACCCGTTGCTATAGTAGAAGTACTAATACCACACTATGAGAGTACTACACCGCAAGTACAAGACTCTTAATGTCTCCTCACAACATGCTGAACACACATATTCAGAAGTAGAAACTGTACCTGCTGAGGAGTCTGACCTTTGGTGACGTACTCGTTCCCCACCTTCACTCGGGGGTAACAGAGCGCCTTCAGCAGGTCAGCCGAGTTCATACCCATGAGGTAGGCCACCTTATCCGCCACTGTGGGACACACACACACACACACACACACAGGTTGCAATGTGAGAGCCGCTGGAATGCGCGTGGTGCGTTGGAAGCACCTTCGGCTGTCTCACCCTCGGTGCCGTCGGGCTCCGCCTGCTCCTCGCGCTGCTTCAGCTTAAACTTCATGTTCCCATAATGCATCACGGCGCCGGTCAACTTGTAGATGCCGACTTTTTCCTCGCAGTTAAACCCCAGGATGTCAATGGCCCTCTGAGGACATGGACGCACATTTTGTAGCATCGGGATTAGCGATAAGTTAATTAATATTTAAGTAATATTTATATAAAATATCATATTTTCTATTATATCATTTTTATTAAAAGTGTAGACCAACCCACCCTCATCTTGAATTTATATTAAGAATATTTAAATGTGTATAATAGTAGTGAGTATACTAAAACTTTAGAATAAAATAAAAACTGATAATAACCACTTTCATCATGACAGATAATAATAACAATAGGCAATCACATTATATAGGGCTGTCAATAGATTAAAAGAAATTAACTCATTAATCGCACATTTTGGAATTCATTAATCTCGATTAATCAATATTGTTGTTGTTACAATGTTTTAATGAATGTTTTTTTTCCTTCGAAAGACTAAATCTTAAAAATACATGCTTTAGAAAGCATGTATTTTAGACACTGGTGTTTAATTGTTGATGCTATTTTAAACACAAAACTACACATCATCACATGAACATCATGGAGGCATGTTGAACTAGCGACTCTTCCCTCTGTCCTCTGTGTTTGAAGTGCCAACAATCTCCCCACATCGAGCCAAACCACGGTCTTTAAGGGACACAGTGGTCCTCTGCAGACTGTTAAGATGGAAGTAGCCTAGCGGCTAGCTTAGCCTAGCAGCTAGCTTAGCATAGCGGTGCTTTAAGTGGTCCGTTTGCCACTCAACCCCCTTCTGTTTGATGTTTGACACACACATATATATATATATATATATATGTATGTATATATATAAATATATGCATTTGAGCCCGGTGCACTCACATCGGTGGCCATCAGCTCCTCAGCGTCGTTGATACTCAGCACGCTGATCTCGCCCTGGCTGATGAACGGGTAGTCGTACGGGTTGGTGGTAATTAGCAACGTTTCTGAAATGAAGCACTAACAGTATTGTTTTTTGTCAGATATACTTAACAAATGGTTAAGAACATAAGGAAGATATTTACTGATTAAATCAGGCTTTTTGTTTGACAGGATCTGGTAGAAGATGTGATAGCTCCTCTCTGCCGGCAGCTGAAAGGTCACTCGGGATTTTTCCAAAAGGTCTAAAGAAGAAGAAGAATATTAGAACAAATATGATAAAATATACTTCAGAAATAGCAGTAGAATCAATGACACAGATGTAAGAAAACTTACATGTTTCAATATCAGCCGATGCCAATTTGCCCTTTGTTCCAAAGTGGATGCGGATGAATTTTCCCTAAAAAAGTTACTATAGTTTCATAAATGAAATTGAAAATAGGTAAAGAAATGAAACGAGCTCTTTGGCATTTCTTTTAGTAATTCTTTAAATTATTTTATTTCCAATACTTTTATTTTTATTTTTAATGCAGGACTATTATTGCAGTCATTATAATATTTAATTCACAATGTTTTTCTTGTGATTCAGATTCATAATTTTCTAAAATAAAAATAAATAAAAAAAATAACATGTGAGCTCACGAATCGAGATGAGTTGTCGTTCCTCACGGTCTTGGCGTTGCCGAAGGCCTCCAGCAGCGGGTTGGCCTGGATGATCTGGTCCTCCAGAGTCCCCTGTGGACATCATGGGTGATGAAAAACGTCTCCTCACCGACCCGCGTCACAACGAGACATGACCGCTCTCAACCTGCATCTTGCTGGGAAGCTGCTCCTTCTTGCTGGAGTCTCCGACCGATGCGATGGTGGCAAAGTACTGGATGACCCGCTTGGTGTTGACCGTCTTCCCGGCACCGGACTCCCCGCTGAGGGAAAGAACGGCCGCAGGTGAGATGAAGAATTACCTTTCAGGAGATTCGGTTCCACGTGGGGACAAAGTGTGACTCACGTGATCAGGATGGACTGGTTCTCTCGATCTGATGGAGGCAAAGAATCTTAAATCAAACTCTAGAAGCCACATTTAAGTCATTTTTTCCACATTTGATCACTATAGTTTGCATTGTGTTGTCTAAACGTGTGCGAATGGTCGGACGGGACCTGTCAGCATGTACTGGTAGGCGCTGTCAGAGATGGCGAAGATGTGCGGCGGGGCCTCCTGCCGTTTCTTCCCGCGGTATCCGGCCACCACCTCCGGGTTGTAGACCGGGAGCCACTTGTACGGGTTCACCGTGACGCAGAAGAGCCCCGAGTACGTCTGCAGAAGAGGACAGCGAGGACAGAGAGGACAAAGCGCCGCGGTGAAGGAAGCGCGACTGGAGTGCGACGGCCGTGTTTGCGTTCGGGTGCTCGGCGGTTACGTAGATCATCCAGGCGGCGTAGCGCTCCTTGAGGTTGAAGAGCACGGCCGGCTCGTGCAGGTGCGTCAGCAGGGCCATGTCCTCCAGCTTGTCGAACTTCGGGGGGTTCATGGGACGGATGTCGTCCAGGTGGACCGAGACCAGCTGAGGAGGGAAATCCACGAAACAAAAATATAAAAAAAGAAAACCCTGTTTGGCGAACGAAAGCCTCAAATACGTCATTTTAACAACACGGGATGTTAGAAGTGTGTCTCGCCTTTCCGTCCTCTGTCTCCACGGTGACCTTGGAGCCGTCTTGGTCCCTGATCTTCCCCTTCACGTACTCCTGCTTCGGGTCGGGCACAAAGATGGCCGCCTTGGCGTCGAAAGGCGCGTTCTGCGCCGCGATCCTCTCCCGCTCCGACTTGCGCAGGTAAGGGGCGGCCACCCCGAATATCTCCATCTCGGCGTCGCTCATTTTTTATGCCGCTGCGCGAGGCGGGACGAAAAGAAAGGAAACAAATGATAAAGAAATCCGATGGTTGAAAGTAAACGGGTGTTTGTCAGGGTGAAAGTGGCGTGCTACTCACCAGAGATTCCCCTCGCAGTGCTTCAGAGGAACAGAGCTGACACCCCTCACACCCACAGCGACACTTTTATAAGCGCCGCTCGGGCCCTTTGTCCCCGGGGCCTCGTCCTCCTATATTTGGAGATCTGGCTTCTACAAAAAAAAAAAAGACAATGTTTTTTTTATTTCTATGTTTAGCTGTATTGTGTCACTTCTTTTAAACGGTTTCAATTGCGGCGTCCATTAAAAAGCAATGAAGGCTAAGGACGGCAGCTTTAGGGGGGCTTTGGGGGCCCGGGCTCATTCTCATGAGGTTGGTGGGGGGCAGATTAGATCCATTGAGGCATCGCTGAAATTCTGGCATTTGGCTGCCTGATCGCTCGGGACTGTTTGGGTTTTGTGTGTCGAGGGCAGCCGGGCGACATTTTCCAGATTCCAGACAGATGAACGTGTCGGAGCCTCGTTGAGCGGAATGAGGCGGCGCTCATTCGGCCATTTTTAGTGATTCCATGTGGAGAAAAGTTCCTCCTGCTCGTCATGTATTGTTTGCTTGTTGTTGGAAGCTTGGTGTCTGAAGGCCTTCGCAGTCTGAATATTACCCGCCAAAAACGAATAAGCGTTTGGGAGCTGGGTTATTTTTAAAAGGTATCGACCAATCACGTGTCTTTAATTAAGAAGCAACGACACAGAAGATCCGCATTGCAGACCGAGGCTGTAAACTGTATTTCTCCCTTCAACCTGGACCAGATTCACTCCTTCTGTTCTCACCTTTCACAATAAAAGCCAGTATTATAAGTGTCAGTATGATTGGCAATTTCATGTACATTGTCTGTCAGTCTATCATGTTGCATTGTGTTACTTTGTCAACAGCTAAAGGAAAATAAAAACCAAATAAAATCACGTTGGCGAGACAGAATAAACTTCAGCAGAGGAAACGCATTCCGGGGGGAGGAGGGCGCCGCCTGGCAGCGCATCACAGACGCTCTAATTGGGGCTGATTTAATTGCCCCCTAATGTCACTTGAAGGTCTGGCAACAGCTGCGATTATAACGGGCGAGGAGGCCGAGGGGAACGTGGTGCGGGAGGGAGGTCGACCGACGCCTCGGCCCCCCCGGTCAACACGTACAAGGAATAACCTGCTCATTTAAACATGCGGTATCGAACGTTAGCGAGCAGTAACGTCGGCTATGGACATAAGTCGTTATGATTTACAACTCCTCTTTAAATAAGCTGCTCTTATCCAAACTGTTATTACCCACAGCAGTTAGCTCCTAATTAGCAACAGCTAAGTCTTTAGCGATTAAAGTTTATCTAACATGTAAACATAACGTGTTTCAGTAGGAAACTGGAATTATATAATCATTAAACAAAGATAAAATATGTTTAATAGAGGGAGGGCTAACAGAACAGGGCTAGCTGTTTCCTAGCATTTACCCTTTATATACAAAGCTAAGCTAACGTAACGTTAATGTACACTAAGAACTAACACACGTGTTTGTTTTTTAAGATGCTCCTCATCATCTTTAATCTATTTACGTGGTTTAAGAAAACTTCTTTGGTCTTTAAATGCTTGTAAACAAAGAACAAGGTTTCCGTGGAGGGTCTCCAGCAGGCCCGTCGGGTGGGGGGGGCTTCTAATCCTGTTTCTAAAAGGAGGGGCCCAACAGGTGTGCAGCATATAAAGGACATCAGCCAATCAATACCGGCTGCTGCCAAGTGCGGGTATAAAAAAATGTACCGTTGCCTCTTAAATATTTATATCATAGATTAAACTATAAGCGGAGGTCGTGAGCCTCCCCAGCTAACAGTTTAACGATATTATTAATCAGAGTTTGTCCTCCCTCTGCCGCTTATCGGCTTAAAGAGCAGCAGCGTAGAAATGAATATTCAATCCAACAGAAAGATTCTTTTCTGCAGACATTTAGGGGCCAAATCCTCCCAAAAAGATCAAACTCGTAGCGAGGAGACGCGACTGCGAGCCGCTGCTCCTGGTGGAAAGACATTCATTGAGGATGGAACACAAAATACATTTTAAAAAACGAGTCAAACTGCAGGTGAAGCGGATGACTTGGTCCTTTAGTCTTCATTCAGATAGTTGACAAAAAGAAACAATCATTCTGGTCAAAAGAAGTGTGATAATCCTCTTAACACATGAAACCCACAACTTCACTCACCAAGTCTAGAGCCTCGCGGATAAACATGTCACAGTGTTTAAAGAAATAGTAAATAATAATTTCACCCTTAAAGGATGAACGAATAAGTCATTCTGTGAATCTGGTCTTCCTGCATTATTTTTTTTAATCAGGCTGTATTTTTTTACTCTTTACAAGGATTAAACTTTACATTAATCACATTCTTCTTCAAAGCTCTTATTCGGCTACATTTTGATATTTTACGCTTTAGTTTAATTTTCATAAAAATAAATATTCAACAATGAATGAAAACTAGTGCAGAAAGTTTCTTTCCTGCTGAAACCTCCGGGGTCTCAACAGCGACGTTCTTAATCCTGATCAATACACAAATAAAATATCAAACGCATTGTTGTATTTTCTCTTTTTTTTTATATCACAAAATCAAAACCACAGGTTATTTCCTCACTGCTCGCATCAGAAATCAGAGCTATCGATCTCATCGGATGATCTTTGTTACAAACAGGATGCAGCAGCGGCGTGACGAAGAACGTCCTCAGGAGACGGCGCTCGTTATGAAAAGGGAATGTGACCGCGGACCCTTCGTTCAGAATAAATACACGCGACAAGCGTCAGTAGCGATCAAACCCGCCGGTCCGCCGCCAGCTTCCGTTTGGCGGCCGCCTCGGCGTTCTTGTACTTCCTCATGTGCGCCGCGACGGAGTTGGTGATCTCCACGGCGGTCTTGTTCTGTCCGAAGTACTCCTCGAACTCCCCGTCGGGCGCCACCAGGTACATGATGATGGTGTGGTCCACCTGCGTGCGGCGAGAGGCGTGGAATCAGACCAAAAGAGGGGTTTGGTGTGTGTGTGTTATTGTGACCACGCTTCTGAGGTGTGGACTCACGATGTAGTCGTTGTCTTCGTCCTTTGGTCCCTGGCTGTAGTAAACTCTGTAGGCTCTGGAGACCTCCTCGATGCGGTCCTTGGGCCCAGTCAGGCCGATCAGCTTCGGGGAAAACTCTGGAATAAACAACACATGTGATGCACATGGGTTTCTGAATATTGATCATTTTAAATGACATAAAGTTCTTATATTTCAGTTTACTGTCACAAAGAAGGGAAACGTAACTTTGTTTCAGCTCATTGTTTGAATGGATTCCCACACGAGGAGAAACAATGTGCTTCTGTACCTTTCACGTACGCCGCCATGGCCTCGGCCGTGTCCCGGTCCGGATCGATGGTGATCAGGATCGGCGTGAGGTTTGGGAGAGACTTCACTTTATCTGCCAGAAACAAAAAGAAGAAGTTTGAACACTTAAATCCCTCATTTGTTATGATTCCTTGTTTTTTTTTGTAAATCACCTAATTCGTCCACCACCTCGATCATCTTCTCGATCTCGTCCGGGCAGATGTCGGGGCAGTGAGTAAAGCCGAAGTAGATGAGGACCCACTGGCCCAGGAAGTCCTCGCTGGCGGCGGGCTTGTTGTTGTGATCGACGAGCGAGAACGGACCGCCGAGCGCCGGCCGGCCCACCGACCGGTTCCGCTCCTTGTCCAACTCTGCGGACCACGATTAAAAGATTGAGACCCGGAGCTCGTCATCGTTTGGCTTCTCCATCGCTCACACGTTCAACATGAGCCGAATACTCACGTTCTTCCTTCTCTTTCTTCAGATATTTCATCCCTCCGAGCAGAGAGCCTCCGATAGCAAATGTGATCGCTAAAGATCTCCACGTGACCGGCTTAAAAAAAAAAAAGGAGTGAAATCATTTCAACACGCTGGATTGTTCATCAGAGATCCTCTGACTCATAACTTTGGAGGCTAAGTGGTCACCAATTTGTGTTAAAAATACATAAAATGACAACGATAAACTGCATTGTCCCACAAACGCAGAACGTTTGTCTTTATCTCAAAGCAAAATTTAAAACAATTAACACAAAACGCATTAAATAATTTACGTGTCAGACTTTCACACAACTGATACAAAAGGATATCTGCTGTATCCCAGCAGAAGTTCTCGGATTCTTCACCTCTCAGGTCGTTCATATATTAGTAAAGCTAAAGTAGTAAAGCCACACATACACCCCCCCCTTAGTGACGTCACCTTACCCCAGCCTTCTTCTTCTTGTTGTTGTTGTCTGGTGGAGGCAGTGAGGAGGAGAACGTTCTGGAGGAGTGTTCACACAGCCGACGAGCAGCTCTGCTGGTGAGCCACTGACTCACACTGACCTGTCCGTGGTCAAACGCGGGGAAAAGACATTACAGTGGTTGTAAAACGCAACATGCAGGTGTTGTGCAAAACAACATCAAAAAAAGGGCTGATTCCCGGTGGTGTCCCGGGACACAGACGGGAGGCGTAACCCGAGACGTTTCTAACTCAAGTGTTTTTTTTTTTAACACGCGACAAATAATTCAACAATTATCTTGGCAACTGTAAGAAATGTTTTTTAGAATATTACCGACGAAAACTACTCCGTGACGCAGTGAAACGTGGTGTTTTACAGCGGTGACGCGCAGGTGTAAATTGGCAGTTTTCTAAATGGAGTTCGGTGTCGCACCTGGTACCGCCGGCTAGCCTTTGACCTACCGGGCAGCAGTGAGCTCTCCGCGGGCACAGGTCGTGTTGCGGTCCGGCGTCTCTCCGCAGGAGGCTGTGCGCCAGTCTGACGGTTTGTGTCCGGGTGCTCGTTCGTAGGAGTTTAACGTGATATAAAACACTCAGCGCCATGTCTGGACCTTGACAGCACCGCTGCTCAACGAGGAAGCGGGTTAGAAGTTTACAAAACGCAATAGGTGAGGAAGAGGAGATGCGCTGTTCTCGAGTCAGTTGCGCATATTGGTGTGAAGTCAGAATGGTTGATTCAGAAGTGAAAAGGCTGCTCTCAGATCAGCTTTCAATTTGCCTTACTTAAGACCGGAAATGACGTATATTGTATCTTCTTCTGTTATTTTGTTAGTGAACGCGCTCTCTGCTGCACCCTGATGGATCGAAAAGAATGGAATATCAATTAAATACAAATAAAATAAAAGTTTCACGTCACTTTTATTCAAAATGATTTATAGATTTATGTCCATTTTACAAAAGATAAATGATCTGTACTTCAAGACCAGAAAATGAATTATGGTTATAAAATTACAGATATACAAAATTAAATAAAAAAACAAAATGAACGGAACTAACATACAACTAGTAGGTAAACATTGGAAGAATCCCTCTTTAAGAGACACCACTTGGTTGTTGGCACATGTTTGTATTCAGTGATACTTGAATCACTGAAGATTTTGCCTAAGAAGCCTTCTTGATGCATTATTAGTCAAAGAACCCAACAGAAGTAATGTTTAATCCACCAAAAAAGGAAGAAAGGTGTCTAAATAGCATTTTGACAATGTGAAGGCCAGTTTGATCGGAGCTCCTTGTGGATGTAGTAGTAAAGCCAGGCCACAAAGGGGAACACTGTGATGGCAACGGCTGTCAAGACTCTGAGCATCCCGACTGAAGCTCTGACGGAGAGAGATGGAGTAGAGATTTAAAAAAATACTTGAAATAAGACAAAAGTGTTCTTAATTTTACCTTCCAGAGTGGCGACACAGGAGAAGCCATCCAGCCGTCAGCACGAGACCAGAAAATTCTCTAAGTACAAATAATTGTTAAACATTTCACGTCAATAGTTTTATCAATTATTTCGTAATTTAATTTTAATTTGCATTTTGTATCATGTTTTTAGTGATATTAAAAAAAGAAGAAAGGAAATCTAAGATCTCTGGTAAGTAGATGCGTCTACCTGCCCTCCTCCAGGTGGAAGATCTCTGAGACTGTCTCTCTGTGGAGTCTCCATCCCATCATGGCAACAACCGCGCTGGAAACCAGCACGTGGAGATCAGCCACGCGCCTCCAGGGCAAAGTCTCTGCAGGGGGGAAACAGGAGACACACGCACACACCTGCAGGTGAGCCGAGCGGCACCGTCACGATACGACCACGCGGTGGCGCTGTCCGCACCGGAGACACTGGTGCAAACTATCTCGAGAAGAAGTTGAAACCTGGGTGGTTTAATAAGGTTTTAATCCTCAATAAGTGATGCGTGCGAAACACGGACTCGGAGATACTACCTGTCAGGTGGGGGGTCAAACCGACGCATGCGCAAAGGACCGCAGGGACACCGTAAGCAACCTGCAGCGGAAACGCGGCGTTATTGCGAAATAACATACAGAAAAGTACAGTATAAAATGTCAAATAGCTGCCAGCTTACCATCCACACCCCCGCGTCAGGATCATTAATCTGACGTAGGCACACGACGGTTATAGTTAGTGATCACGTGACGTAACAGGATGCATGATGACGTTTTGTGAAGACGTAAACGCTCACCTGGACATACGTTGCGAGGGCGAAGAATAAAGACATTAAAAAGTTGCAGGCTCGCCAGGTGACAGCGAGCCAGGTCCCGCTAACTTCGCCCATTGCTGTTTGCAACCTTTCACCTCCCCGCCCGGGCCCGCGGGACGTAACGATACAAGAGAGAGCGAACGCTCTGACCCCCCCCAGCAGAACCTCTTAACGAGACACACCGGCGGAGGGGTTCGTTTGATATTTACCACGTTGTCTGCGCGTTGACCTGAAATGTTTGGCCGCTGACACCAATTCTCCGTGTATTAAATGACTGTACCCCCCCCCCAATACTGAACACCCCCTACCGATGTGATAGAAACCCACAGATGAGTAATTTAAAGCAGATGTTGCTTTATTTGTGTATTGTGGGTTGTGTAACCGAAAGCACAGTTCGGCACTAGAACCAGGGATGCATAACAATAATATAATTACGTTTTTTAAAACACATATATCTTCTAATGGGGTAAACAAAAGATCCCAAACAGCCAGATGTGTTTTTATTTAACGACGTTGAGTTAAATGGTGAACGTTCTCCGCCCCTGCTGCCCCGTACGACAAAATGAGCACGCATTCCCCGCAGTGACGTCAAGGTACCTCGGCAGAGAGATTTAACTTCCGGTAGCTCTACAATGTAACAATTATTATTGACTCCCATTTTCCCCAAGTTGTGTTTGTCCCACTTTACACTTCTACTTCTCAGAGGTAAATGCTGTTCTTTGTACTACGTATACTTGCTAAATTAGTGGTTACTTTGAGATTAAAACACATGAATATTCACCCATTAATAAATATCATCCAATATTATGAAATATATTTGAGTATGAATATTTAATTAAAAATACAACATTAATACAATGTATACTTACTTAAGTGACATGCTGTTTAAGTTTAAGTACTGCAAGATCTATGTATATCCAGGAATGTGAACTCAGTGAATCTGAAGATATTCTTGAAAAAAAAGCTGTGATACATTTTTTATTTTACAATTTATACACAGAAAAAAATGAAAAAATGTTAATTATAAAAAATTGTATATTCGAATAGAATTTCAGACAGACCGAACTAGTTCACATTTTTACCTCGAATTTAAAGTCGTAATAAATTATTATCTAAATGGGCTAAAAATATATATTTTTACTCTGAAAGAGACACCGCTTAACATCCGGTTCGTCTCGGCTATCTGCCGCTAGCTTGTCGTTAGCTCCGGGACGCTGTGGGTGTTGACATGTCAGTGTCACTCGGTCAGCTGATTGCGGGTCTTAACGCTTCTTGGCTAGTACCGCTAGCCAGCTTAGTTAGCTTAGCCTAGCTGGGTGTTTGTTTTTGTTAACGTTACTACACAGCTAACTTTTAAGGTCTAAAAACCGTGTAATTTAACGTATTAAAAAAAACAAACATCCCACAGTCGCTTCCGGATCGTCATTGTACGCGTTTCTCGCGGCCCGAAGTTGCCGTTAGTGACGCCGTGATCACCGCGGCCGGGAGGGAAGGGTGAAGTTGCTCTCCGCGTATCTGCATTGCAGCCCGGTGCTGCTGATGGAATTCAAACACACAACAATGGCGACTCCCAGTCCGAACAACTCGACAACATCCAGCAGCCACGGCAGCGGCGGCAACAACGCCGGATCCGCGGCTTCCCACCAGCACCAGTCGCAGCCGCAGCACATCACCACCATGAGCAGCATGCAGGGTACGTTTGAACCATCTGCGACGGCACGAATACGAGCCGCTGTGCTGCAGTGAAGGTTACTGTTAGCTGGCTGGCTAGCTAGCTAGCCGGGGAGGCTAACAGCTACTCGGGCTGCAGCTCAACCATTCCCGAAAGACGTCGGACGCCTCGTCGTCGTCTCCCCCCGTGTATCGTGAAATTAAGGAAAATACTGTGTTTTCTTTGTAGTTACGGGATGTAGGTTAACGTCGTTGCCAACGTTAGTTTTTTTTTTTTTTTTTTACATTTTGCAGCCACGTTACGTTCTGCTCTTTTTTTTCTCTTCCGACGAGCTCCGTTCACATAATTGGCAATCAGAAGTCTTGACTCACGCTTCTACGTCACAGGAGCCAAATGGGATAAGTCGCTCTTTTCTAAACGCACACAAACCCCCGAGAGGCGCAGTCCCGCGCCGCGCAAACGCAGCTGATTGCACAACTCGTGAGCGTGATGTGTGTCGGTGTGTCGGTGATAAATGAGGCCGAATTGAGCCGCGTTGTCCACTTACGGTGCGCGTGTCAAACCGAATCAAAGTGGTGGTCAAACTCGATGGATTTCTCTCTGAATTCTTTGCCACGCGCATCAGCGCGTGCACGTTAGCTGCGTGTTTTCCTCGTTCCAACAAATGTCTTCTTCTTACCTTTCAGAGTCCAACACCTGCTGGAGATGCCAGAGTGAAACAGGTAGCTACGCGCTTCTTTGACCTTTGACCTGGCAGTACAAAGAGCAGTTTGATCCAGGTCTTCGCTAGAGTCTCGAATGATGCGTTTAAACATATTTACCTTCTGGTTTAGCGCCACCTGATGTTAAATGATCAATAAAAGTGGAATTACAACGGAGATGCACGTTGACTTAAAATCCCTGCTCCCCTTATTTATAAAGAACGAGATGCCTTTCCTTCACGCTGACCGTAATAATAATCTGTATTTGATCATCAGGTTGTGTTCTGCTTTCCTTCACATCTCCCTGATTAAATGTCACCTGTCTGTTGTTTTTTTTTTTACCTTACTGCTGCTCACTAATGATTCCTCACTCCTGACATGACGCTGGATGACGGTGAGCGGTCCCGGCGAAACGCTTCTCAAGCTGTAACTCGTCTTTCGTGATGGGAATTCATCCTCACCTTTTTTTAAATTATTTTATTTACACCTGTGGTTGTGCCTCTTTCATTTCGCCCTTCACACGACCGGCACGTTTCTCTGTGACCAAGTGCTCGTAGCAAAGAAAGGCTGACTTCTTTGGAGGGGGCGGGGGGAATGGTGGTGGTGGGGGGGGGGCAGCTACCCTAGTTCTTCATCGCTGCAGCAGGGCAGAAACTACAGGGTCCGACTGACCGAGACGAGTGTGAAGAAAAATAAAAGCTGTCTTCTCGCCTCTGTAGGGTTTCAGATAAACCTGTCTGGAGCTCCCCCAAGTAAGACAACCCTCTTTTTGCCTCGGCACCAACAGTTCTCATCCCTTTGTTTTCTGGTCGGGGGGGGGGTTCGTCCTGTCGTTCTCCACTAATCCAAGTCCGGCCCTCTGGCAGGTTCTCGTAGGCTTGTGCCGCTAGCCGTTAGCCGCTAGCTTCCGCGGCAGGAAAGATGCCGCTCGGCAGATACTGAGCTGTGGATTTAATGAATGAGCTCTCGGGTTTAACTACCCAGCGCAGGACGACTACTCATCGGCACAAGCCTCAAACCCACAGCTTCCACGGACACCTCCAGGTCCTCCAGCTGGTGTTCACCCGTCGCTGTGGTCCTTATCTGAAGGAACGCTGGGAATCAAAGCCCCCCAATGGGAGCTCTGCCTGAGCGGCTCTGAGTGTCACTAACCAGCGGGGAGGGGGGGGGGCACACACACACACACACCGGTTTCTCCTGTGTGGTTGTTTGTGTTGTCGGCATGGGTGCACCTCAGCATAGCGCTTGCTTGTCCAGACAAGGTGAGCACGTGTGGTCCTGTCCAGGGATGTTTTGCGTTCAGGCTGGCGGGGGGGTTCGAGCGGCTCACACATTCTTGTGGTGTTTTCGGGGAAAGGGGGGGGGGGGGTGGGCTCTACGAAGGAGGTGAAGTCAAAGCAGTTGGCCTTGAGAAGCATGTCGTGTGTCAGTGTTTTCTTTTCCCCCTCTGGTGTGTGTGTGTGTGTGTGTGTTCTGTGAACGTGGGTGTGTTTTTAGCAGCATGCTACGTTCCCATTTCTGTATTAAATAAGGAAAGTAGTTTCATCATCAATCGGTTGGATTTGTTTTATAATTTACACCGTGATGACGTACATATTTGTTTGGCTACTGTGATCTTATTTGCAAATCAGAAAGCTGGATTAATCATTTTAACCGTTCAAAAGTCCTCAAATGCCAAACAAACGGTCTGATGACGGATCTGGGACCCGTACGACGGTGGAAGTGTGAAGCGTTTGTCAGCTTGTTTCCCTCGTGTGTGTTTGGGTCCAGCATGACGTCACAGACCTCGTTTGTCACCCTGGGAGCGGTTTCTGCTCTTTGTCTCACTCCTCATCCCGAGCTGCTTCCTCTGGAGGTCACGTTGATCCGTACGTGATCCACATATCGGCTCTACTCTGTCCCGCTCAGGTAAACGTAAAGCCCTGAAGCTGAACTTCGCCAACCCTCCGATCAAACCCACGGCTCGATTCACGCTGAACACGGCCGGGCCGCCCTTCCAGAACCCGCACATGTGAGTGAGGCTGGTCCCCCCCCCTCCCCCCGGTCCGGTCCAGTCCGGCACAACCGCCCCCCCCGTTTGCACGGTTACTGATTGTTCCCGCGCCCCCCCGGCAGAGAGCGGCTGAGGACGCACAGCATCGAGTCGTCGGGCAAGCTGAAGATCTCCGCCGAGCAGCACTGGGACTTCACCGCCGAGGACCTGAAGGACCTGGGCGAGATCGGCCGCGGGGCCTACGGCTCCGTCAACAAGATGGTGCACAAGCCCAGCAACCAGATCATGGCGGTCAAGGTGATTATTGTTACTTTTTTTATTGAGACGCAGTGGGGGGCGCGTTAGGTTTCCCCGCCCTCACGCTTCCACGCGTCCGTCCGCAGAGGATCCGGTCGACCGTGGACGAGAAGGAGCAGAAGCAGCTGCTGATGGACCTGGACGTGGTGGTGAGGAGCAGCGACTGTCCGTACATCGTGCAGTTTTACGGCGCTCTGTTCAGAGAGGTGACCTCATGACTCATTATCACTCTTATTTTTATTATTATTATTATTATGATGCTTCGTTTAGTCTGTTCGCTCACGGCCGACTCTGCTTGTGTTTCAGGGCGACTGTTGGATTTGTATGGAACTCATGGCGATCTCCTTAGACAAGTTTTACAAGTTTGTATATTGCTCATTAGACGACGTGATTCCGGAGGAAATATTAGGCAAAATAACATTAGCTGTAAGTGTGCGACCCTTTTAAACATGGACAATGAACAAAGAAGCCGGATTCCCTGTTTCTTAACCTCTTCTTGTGTTTCGCAGACTGTGAAGGCACTTAACCACTTAAAGGAAAACTTGAAAATAATACACAGAGGTGAGTCCGACGCCACGTCTTATTATCGCCTGTCCCACCTCCACTCGCCACCCTTAACTCCCCCCCCGTCTCCCCCCGCCAGACATAAAGCCGTCCAACATCCTCCTGGACAGGAACGGAAACATCAAGCTGTGCGACTTCGGCATCAGCGGGCAGCTGGTGGACTCCATCGCCAAAACCAGGGACGCGGGCTGCAGGCCGTACATGGCGGTGAGTAACGCACGCACTCTCTGTAGTGACCAGCAGGGGGCGACTCCTCCGGTCCTATAGAAGTCTATGAGCAGATGGCTCTGGTAGATGATGGTCCATTTAGAGTCAAAGCGGGGCTCACTGTGATGGACAGGTCTCTACCAAAGACGCACATGGCGTCTCATATTTATATTAATGGTTCTTTTTACAGTTCATTCTTTCGTATTTGAAGGCCACATGACGCACACACACACAGGCACACCCACCCTCGCCGCGCAGGGGAAAACATCCCCGGGGGTGTGGAGCTGTCTTGGTTTTTTGGGGGGGGGGGGGGGGTGTTTGTGACACCTGGTTTCCTGCTGCTAACGGAGTCTGCAGCGTAAAGACACATTGTGGAAACTTAACAGCTTTATACTCTGGATGGCAGTGAAGAAACTCCCCATGCATTTAATATTTAACTATCAACATGAGACTTCAACTATTCATTCTTCAAGTTTTCTAAGCTATTATGTTTGAATATGCAAACATCTAAAGGTAACTTTTGATGAATTTAGGAGAAATCGACAAAGTAGATGTTTCCTTTACACTAGAAGACTCATTACAGGAGGGAAGTAGATGAAAAGCTTTAAAGTGTCTCTCTTTACTGAGTGAAGATATGATTTACTTAACCGTTAATGTACATATAGAATGTACATGTGTCCTTTTTATTTATATGTATATAGATAGATATAAAACACTTGTATGTATCTGTCTGCTTTTGCATTGAAACTTAAATATGAATCTGTTTCCTGTGTGATTCCTTTTGTTTTTGCAGCCTGAGCGAATCGACCCGAGCGCGTCGCGGCAGGGCTACGACGTCCGCTCGGACGTCTGGAGTCTGGGGATCACGCTGGTGAGAATTCCCTCCTGCAGAATGCTGCATAGCGCCGGTTTACAGCACCATTGAATTATGTGGATCACGTAGATGTCACCGGAATAGCTTACGCCTGTCGTGCGCTGTGTCGCAGTACGAGCTGGCCACCGGGAGGTTCCCCTACCCGAAGTGGAACAGCGTGTTTGACCAGCTGACCCAGGTGGTGAGGGGAGACCCGCCGCAGCTCAGCAACTCGGAGGAGAGGCGCTTCTCTCCCAAGTTCATCTCCTTTGTCAACGTGTGGTGAGGAAAAAGGACTTTCGATGACGTTCTGATGGCAGGAGGTCGATCGGCTGTGCGGTGGTGTCGCTGTGGACCGACTCCCCCTGCTGGACAAACGGGTGAACTGCACCCGGCGCATTCTAACTCTTGTGTGTTTCTCCTCCTCTCAAGCCTTACAAAGGACGAGTCAAAAAGGCCAAAGTACAAAGAGCTACTGGTGAGCTCTGTTTACACTCATCAGGCTGTTTCAAACTGGCCTAATGGCCGAGCTTGTCCAACCCTATTTTCCAGATGTTCTATGTGACCAATCATGTCTTTGTTCTCTGCAGAAAGATCCGTTCATCCAGATGTACGAGGAGCGCTCGGTGGACGTGGCGAGCTACGTGTGCCGGCTCATGGATCAGATGCCGGCGTCTCCCAGCTCCCCGATGTACATGGACTGATGGAAGGACGAGACGGGAACACACACACACACACACACACACACACACACACACACCATTAAATATATTCACCAGTCTGCAACAGTAAACCACATTTAAAAAAAAAAAAAAAAAAAGACAAGAAAGTGAACAAAAGAAATTCCTTGTGTACATTTGCTTGGTCCCCTTATTGCAGTGTTAAAATAAGAATTGTAAAGCCTAAAAAAAATAAAAACACCATTTGCAATAAAATAGGTGTTTATTTCAGTCATGTCTGTATAATATATCAACACTTTTGTTTCTCTTGTTCACACACACGCACAGTGTAATCATAGCAGCAGCTGAATCACACGGTCTTGACTCATCTTCACGAGGACACTCTTCTGTGGTTTTAGTAAGGTGGTTAAAAAAATAAATAACGTAGAACCAATAAAAACATTTTAAAGAATCAATTCTTCAGCACACCGGAATTATGCTCTCTGTGAAATTGTCTCACCTCTTCCATGTACGTAACTGAAAGCATCGTGTTTGGTATCTTAATGGAACTTTGCTTCTCTGGGTATAAAGCAGTTTAAAAAGTGTCCGGGTGGGGTTGGACCTGCAGGCCGGTCGGTGCTGAGAGGCTGCTGTCCTGTCCTCGCTGTACAGTGGACTATGTGCTGATATATGAATAAAGGAGGAGAAAGGAAGTGCGTCTGCGTCTCTTCTTTGAATGATTCCAGCGTAAAAGGAGCTGGCGCGGAGGATTTATTAGCATGAATGCAAATGATATCCGGTATGAAGACCTGCAACTATGACTCGTGTTTTACAAAGCTTACCTTTGTACCTCTGCAGGTAGCAGGTCTGCAGTGATGCACCAAACGTTTTGAAACCGTCATGTGAAAAATACTATGCTGCAGTTAAACTGAATTTCGTAGAACGTTTTATTTGCATAAAGAAAATAAATAGTTAAACTTATTTCACCTCAAGCAAGAGCAGACCACCTCAATGGATCACTCACAGAATTCTGATGTAGGGTTTGAAAATGAAAGCGCTTCAAAATCTTCGTGGTCGAGAGATTGCTGGTTTATTCTGTCAAAGTCCTGTGAAATTTGTTTTTTTTAAAAGTCCCAGAAAAAAGTGTTCTAAAAAGAACTAAGCCACCATAAATAATCCAAAAGAAAACGTCGGGAAAAAAAAACATTTCATTGTACATCGCAAAAAAGTGCATGGTCACAAACGCTTATCACGTCATGACATCAGTGACGTCTGATGAGCTTTCCCCGCCTCCTGCTCTTATAGCGCCGCTGTGATTGGTTCACAGACAGACAAAACTATTACAACCGCCAATGAGCGTCGACGTTCGTCAACGTCATCATTAGATGCCGGAAAAAGTTGTCACATGTGTGAACCAGCCTCTAAAGTCCTGCTGAATGTGCACCCAGCGACTTTTAGGTAACTTCTTCTTTATTTAAAAGGCGTGGACATGTACAAAGAAGCATTCGCTGGGTAATCGGCGCCGGTTATACTTTTAGTGTCGTGTCTTTATTATGAATGCGGTCCGTGAGAAGCTGGGGTCCATTCCGCTCCTGTTTATCAAAGGCAGGTCTCTCTCTGCTGGTCCTCCGGCTGTCCCCAGCTGTTACTTCCCTGTCCCCCGGACTGTTTTGCAGTTTTTTCGAACAATGGCGTCTAATGAGAACAAAACGCCGGAGACGAGACAACCCGCTCCGAAGAAGGCCAAGCAGAAGGAGCCCCTGCGGCGGGTGAAGACCAAAGAGGACCGGGTCAGGCGAGGGGAGGGACACGGACCGTCCACCGTCTACGTGCAGGTGGTCGGCGCCGGAAGCAGAGACAACTCTGCGTCCCTGTACGTCTTCTCCGAGTTCAACAGGTAATGGATGCGCCAACGCGTCATGCTTTTACTTTGAAAACCAGGGCTGCTTGAGCCTCCCAAAGTGTTGCAGGTAAACGTCTCACTGCAGGGAGCCAGTAAGACATGATGATGATGATGATGATGATGATGTGAGCTGGTAAGAGTAATAGTCAGGAAACGTTTAGGAAGTTGCTCTTTACTTCTAGTTTATTTCTACCAATAATCAAAAATGGTTGAAATGTATTCAGCTGATCCAGAAACACGAGTCTGTATCAGCTGGTTTGGAAATAAAGACTATTTCTTTATCTGAATGTTTCTGCTGGTCTCTGCTGCAGATATCTGTTCAACTGTGGTGAAGGGACACAGAGACTCATGCAGGAACACAAGTAAGCTGGTTTAAGGGTTTGGATGTGAAAAGCACATCAGTATTGTTGTTGTTGTTGTTTTTCTCATTGTAGTCAGTCGGAGAGCATTTATGTCCTCGTGTTTTCCTCTGACAGACTGAAAGCTGCTCGATTGGACAACATCTTCCTGACCCGGCTGAGCTGGGAGAACGTGGGAGGTTTATCGGGTCGGTAGCGTGAAATAACACGGAACCAGAGAAACAACACTACGTGGTGATTTCTCTCAGTAGAATGAATATGTTGATTGTTTCCTCTGCAGGGATGATATTGACCCTGAAGGACACCGGTGTCCCAGAGTGCGTCCTCTCGGGACCTCCACAGCTGGTGAGCCGCCCCAACGCACTGTATTTAAACATTTAATACCTTTTTATGTTTGGGTGTGTTTTTAATGACCACTCTTCTTCTCTTTTGAATCCTAGAAGAACTATCTGAACGCCATCAAGTCCTTCTCAGGACCTCTAGAGGACATCAAGCTGTGTACGTCTGAGCTTGTGTTTTTGTATTATCCGTTTTATCGTGGATGGTAACATTGATCATCACCGATGGTCCCACTGATGATACTGTTGATGGTTTGACCCCCTTCCAGCGGTCCGACCGTACACCGAAGAGGCGTACAGCGACGAGACGATGACGGTCCACCAGGTGCCGATCTTTGGTCAGTCTTTCCGTTTCCCTCGAGACTTTTTTTTTTTTATTGTCAATGTTGTTTTTTTTCTTCTTCTTCTTCTCCCAGCTGACTCTTTTTGCGTCTTTGCTCTCGAAGGTCGTTTGAGGGTCGACGGCAGGAAGCTCTCCCCACCGTCGGGCAGGAGCAGCCCCCCGTCCCCCGGGAGAGACTACGCCCGCGGAGACGAGCGAGGCGAGTTTGGGGATTACACGTGGTTCACAAAATCCTGGGGTTTGCAGATTCATTTCCGACCATCAAATTTGTTGAAAATTCATGCTGATCGGAATGACTTTAAATAATGATTCTAACTAAAATAAGGAGTCTAAAATGCCCCAAAAAAGTCTAGTCATTTAATTTTTGGGTGTGGTGTTAATGGAGGCTGTTGTCCCACAATGCATTGCACAGTGGAAATGAAAGCGTGGATTGTGTCTTTTAGGTGACAGACGCAGGGCGAGCAGAGATAATTCTCTGCTGGTTTCCTTCATCTGTAAGGTAGGAAAACCTCCAGAGAGCGTCGTCCTGGTGTTTGAAGTTGAAACTTTGTCTCTGACGTTCTTCTTCTGCACTTTCACAGCTTCACCCCAAGAAAGGGAATTTCTTAGTGGCTCAGGCGAGGGAGCTCGGTCTGCCTGTGTGAGTGCGTCACTCATCCCGCGCAGACGTTCATGCACTCGTCCCACCCAGACGTCCATGCACTCATTCCACCCAGACGTCCATGCACTCATTCCACGCAGACGTCCATGCACTCATTCCACGCAGACGTTCATGCACTCATTCCACGCAGACGTCCATGCACTCATTCCACGCAGACGTCCATGCACTCATTCCACGCAGACGTCCATGCACTCATTCCACGCAGACGTCCATGCACTCATTCCACGCAGACGTCCATGCACTCATTCCACGCAGACGTCCATGCACTCATTCCACGCAGACGTCCATGCACTCATTCCACGCAGACGTCCATGCACTCATTCCACGCAGACGTCCATGCACTCATTCCGCGCAGACGTCCATGCACTCATTCCGCGCAGACGTCCATGCACTCATTCCACGCAGACGTCCATGCACTCATTCCACGCAGACGTCCATGCACTCATTCCACGCAGACGTCCATGCACTCATTCCACCCAGACGTCCATGCACTCATCCCGCGCAGACGTCCATGCACTCATTCCGCGCAGACGTCCATGCACTCATTCCACCCAGACGTCCATGCACTCATTCCGTGCAGACGTCCATGCACTCCCACCACTATACTGAAGTTGGATTGATGTGAACTTTATATACAGTCTAGTGTCCTTAAATCAAATTAAATAAAGCTCTACTGTAAAAGTTATGTACACAGATGATTATGATTGATTTTGTTATTGGGTTTAAAAAGATTTTTTTTTGGAACGAGTTCATTTTGACTTTTTTGTCTATCATCGTTTTAACATGAATTAGTGTGGTGGCTGTACTCAAGCTAATGATGTAATTCTTCGTATGCGTGATGAGCCTCTTTCCCTCCTCAGAGGCACGTCGGCCATCGGCCCGCTCATCGCAGCGCTGAAAAGCGGCAAAAGTGTCGAGTACGAAGGCAAAGAGGTAAAAACGAAGCTCAGTTCACCTTTTGGAGAGTTTGTTATTATTTTTGTTTGTTATTAAGTCCGCCGCTCTCAATTATTATTTTTCTCAGATCCGGCCGGAGCAGGTTTGCACTCCCACGGACCCCGGGCCGGTCTTCCTCATCGTGGAGTGTCCGTCTGAGGAGTTCGTGGAGGCCGTCTGCACCAACGCGCAGCTCAGAAGGTACAAGTTCTGCATCTATTGGGCATCCAGTCGTTTGCAGGATGATCCATCATTATTATTGTTTATTCCGTACATGACATCATACCAGTCTTTGGCTGTCTGGCTCCGCCCATTTCTTGTTGTGTTGTGGATGTCGGATACGGAATGTTTGTCACGACGCGGCGGCCTGAGTAAATCTCGCCGTGTTGATCTCCTCCAGGCACCAGGCCGCAGCGGGGGAGGAGTCTGCAGCGCTGGTGGTCCACATGGCTCCGGAGTCCGTCCTGTCGACGGATCAGTACAAACGGTGGATGCAGAGGTCCGCCTGCCGCCTCCTCTGGAAACCACACTTTGTTTGTTGTTGGCTTTGAAGGCGGAGTTTCGTGTGCGCGTATTTCTGCAGGTTTCCGCCCACAACACAACACCTGATCCTGAACGAACAGTTCGGCGCCGTCCACAACGTCCGAAGTCACAAGATCCAGGCCCAGCTGAACATGATCCACGGCCACATCTTCCCCGAGCTCAAGTCCTACAGATCCAAGGTGAAACAGCCACCAGCTGCTGGGGGACAAGAACCTTTATATCATGTTCGGATAGAATAATCTAATAATAATATTAATAAAGTGGGAAGGACGGAATTACAATGTTGTTTGTTGAACATTTTACAACTTATAGACAGTCTGATCTATAACCTTCAAAGTAATATCAGTAGATTAATAGAAATGTAGAAAACATGATTTAAATTAGAAATAATTACAAATGGAAGAAAAATAAGGGTTTACTGTGTATTGAAAAACAAGTGATAATCATTTTAACATCTGACAATATAGAATAAGTAGCTATGAGACGGCAAAGAGGTACGAAAGTAGTAAAATATCCAAACTATTTACAATGCAGGACGATTTAAAATCCAACCCGTTCCTTCCTCCCCAGGAGGCTGCGGCCGAGCTGCTGGTCCCCGGCGTCCGAGCCGAGTGTCTCCTCAAGTTCCAG